GATAGTGAGGTTGTTTTAGTAGGGTGGGGTTCGAGCTGGCATGTAATCTAGATCAGGCTGGCGGTGCGATGCAATATGGACAAGCTGGGATTCGTGCGTGCAGGAAAGTCTACCGAAACAAAGGACGGGGTCGAACGGGTTGGACAGGCAAAGGCAAGCAGAAGGAAGGTTGGGGGAGCTATGCTGGGACGTCTGCGGGATGTGCTATGCGCAGGATGAGTGTGTGACGGTGCAGCTGAAACGGAGAGACAGGCGTACGGGGAAGAAGCAGACGAATCTGGGAAGGAGATCTCGTTTTCCGGGATTCTGTGGCGCACGACCGACGTATGCTGGGTGTGTGTTATGGAGCCACCTGCTGGAATACGGCTTGCTTGCTTGAAGGCAGATACCGAGGAAGACACGCAGCACAGCGGGGTGGAGAAAGCGATGCCCACATGGGGACAGAGAACCTAACCACGCAGGACAAAGTGCACAAGAGATGCGGACAATACAGTGCAGCCAGCGAAAGCAAACGGGTGCATCTACACTACAACGGACAGGCACCCAGGGGCGACGGACCGACAAGCCGCTGCCGGCGTGCCGGCGAGCCGGCACGCCCGCAAGCAGAATGCAGCCTTCTCTCTGCCTCCTCCTGCCTCCTCCTGCCTCCTCCTGCCTCCTCCTGCCTCCTCCTGCCTCTCTCTGTCGACTCTACTTCTGCCTGCCTCTTCCTCTCAAGGCCGTCTCCGTGCCATCACGGCCTTCTTCTGGCAGGCCTCCGGCTCAACAATCTACCACTGTGCCCTGAGGAGCTGCTGACATAAGCGCGGCGACGACCCCGAGTGAGCTGATTTCCGAGGGGCTGTAGCGGAGTGGAGTGGGTGCGGCCGGAAAGGGGAACGCGGAAGGATTGTTGGGTGGGGGGAAGGGAAAAGGTTGGCGGAATAAAAAAAAGTGTCCTGGGACGACCGACGATAAACGGCTTATGTCAGCAACTGCTTACGTAATGACGGTTGGAAGGTCACGTGGTTGGGGGTGACGCGTCTGCAGGTTGACGAGGATGCGGGCTAGACGGGGTAGGCAGGAATCATGAAAAAGTGGCTGAAGAAACTCAGGGCTAAGGACTTGAGGTGGTTTGAAATAGGGGGACTGGGAGGAAGCAAGAGGCAGCAGTTAGTTCTCCAGTCTTGTGCAAGGACAATGGCGGTTATTGACGACTTTTTCGGCAAGAATGCGGTGAAAAACAACAAGGCGAAGCGGAAAAACCCGTCGAGTGCAGGGACGGATCCTGGACCTCCAGCAGTGAAAAAGCCGAAGGCCGAATCGAAAGAGATGAAGAAGGAGGTGAAGAAGGAAGGGGTGGACACACAGGTGTCGGCGGAAGACGTGTTGAAGACGATTCCGGACGCGGATCCGTCGTTGTTGGACTTGTCGCCGGATGCGGAGAAGATGAACTTCTTCCAGCTCAAGGCAAAGCAGAACGCTAACGGGTCGGAGGCCGGAGAACAGCTCGACATCGACTCGATCCCCCGGGGAAGAGAAAACTGCTTGAACGGGTTGACGATTGTGTTCACGGGGGTGCTTCCGTCGTTGGACAGGGAGCAGTGCGAGCAGTTGTCGGCGAGGTATGGGGCGAAGATCACCAAGAGCATCAGCGGCAAGACGTCGTTGGTGGTCATTGGGAGCGACGCCGGACCGAGCAAGGTGAAGAAGATCAAGTCGCTCGGCACCAAGTGCATTGATCAGGAGGGGTTCATCCAGTTGATCTCGCAGATGCCTGCGGATGGAGGCAGCGGCGAGAACGCGGTGAAGGAGATGGCGAAGAAGAAGGAGCTCGAGAAGAAGGTCGAGCAGGACATCGAGGAGGAGATCAAGAAGGAGCAGGAGCAGGAGCAGGAGCAGGAGCAGGAGCAGGAGCGGACGAAGGCGAAGCCCCAAAAAAGCACGGGTGGGAGCACGTTCAGGGCGGAAAAGAAGGTGGTGGACAAGGACACCCAGCTCTGGACCGTCAGATACGCGCCGACCGACATGAAGCACATCTGCGGGAACAAGGGCAACGTCGAGATGCTCCACAGCTGGTTGTCGACGTGGTTCGACAAGAAGCACGACCTGAACGGCTCCACGATCGACCACTACAAGGCGGTGTTGATCAGCGGCCCCCCTGGGATCGGGAAGACGACGGCGGCGACGCTCATCTCGAAGAAGCTCGGCTACGACGTGATCGAGAAGAACGCAAGTGACTTCCGGTCGAAGAAGGTGTTGAACGAGCACTTGAAGGTGTGTTTGGACAACACGTCGGTGTCCGGGTACTTCCAGCACGACGGCGAGTCCAAGAATGCCGCCAACGGGAAGAGGTTCGTGTTGCTGATGGACGAGGTCGACGGTATGTCGAGCGGCGACAACGGTGGTGTGGCGCAGTTGGCGCAGTTCTGCAAGACCACGAAGACACCGATGATCTTGATCTGCAACGACAAGTCGTTGCCGAAGATGCGGACGCTCGACAAGTACTGCTTCGACCTGGGCTGGCGGAGACCTACGTCGAGGGAGATGAAATCCCGGTTGATGTCGATTGCGCACCGGGAGGGCTTGAAGCTGGACCCGAACTTGATCGACAAGTTGGTTGCGATCACGCATAACGACATCCGGCAGATCATCAACATCATGTCGACGGTGGCGCGGACACAGAAGAGCTTGAACTTTGACAACCTCAACCAGATGCAGGACTCGTGGGAGAAAGAGGTGTCTTTGAAGCCGTTCGATGTGATTGCGAGGTTGTTGTCGCCCAACAAGCTCTCGATCAACGACCGGATCGGGCTGTACTTCAACGACATGGACCTCGTCCCCTTGATGGTGCACGAGAACTACCGCAGCACGCGGCCGGCGTGCGTCAACGCCAGCAACAAGCTCGACCACCTGCGGCAGTTGGCGAAGGCGTCGGACCTCATCTCGCAGAGCGATCTTGTGAACCAGCGGATCCGCAGCGGCGAGCAGCAGTGGTCGTTGCTTCCGTTCCACGCGATCCTGTCGACGGTGTACCCCGCTGCCGAAATCCAGGGCCAGATCACGGGGCGGATCAACTTCACCAGCTGGCTCGGCCAGAACTCCAAGAAGATGAAGTTTGACCGCATGGTGCAGAACCTTCAGTACCACACGTGCACGCGCACGCGCACCAACAACGTCGACCTGCGTCTGCACTACGTGCCCTTCCTCCGAGACAGGCTGCTAGCCCCGCTGGCGAAGCACGGCGCCGACGGCGTGTCCGACGTGCTCGAGACCATGGACGAGTACTACCTCACCAAGGAGAACTTCGACAACGTCCTCGAGCTCGCCGTGCACGGCAGCATGAAGTTCGACGACGTGTACAAGAAGCTTCCCACCGCCGTCAAGAGCGGCTTTACCCGAAAGTACAACTCCTACGTGCACCCCACCATCATCTACAAGACCGGCGACTCCGTCGGCTCCAGCGTGCGTCGTACCCAGGACGAAAGCATCGAGGACGAGGAACGCCGCAAGAACGGCGCCGACGACCCTGACGCCGACAACGACAACGACCAAGACGACGCTGCCGATGATAGCGGCAGCGGCGACATCCTCAAGGACAATCTGATCAAGGAGATCAAGCCAAAGGCCAAGCCTAAACCCAGGGCCAAATCGGCCAAACAAGCCAAACCGGCCGCCAAGACCGGCCGTCGTCTGTGATTACGTAACCTTTCAGGCCGTGTCCCGCTGCATCGCACGCGACCGGATACTGTCGGCGAAGCATCCGCCACCCCAGCGGAAGCCCGCGAGCAGGCCGAAACTCACGGAAACACAGTGAGCCGGCGGGAAAACGAGTCGGGGCAGGAGAACACGGCCCCACCATTGTCCGGCTCCGAGAAGCTTCGGACCGGAAATAGCGATTTTGTACTCTGCAGCGTGTAGCTTTAACACCGTTTGAGTGGTTTTTCTCCCCCCGAATGATCTTTCCGACATGGAACGGCATGACACGATCGGGGATAGCCTTACGTCTGGAGGCCAGGCCGAAGTGCCTATGCGGCCGGCATGTAGCGAGAGGGATACCGGTTTGTCAGACCGAGGGGGAAAGAGAGAGGGGCCCCCGGGGGCCTCCCCACCTGTGGAAGCACCCCGTACCGTCTTTGCAACGAGTAGCATTTTTTTCTCGGCACAGGAGATCGTCCTGTAGACGAGAAACGAAGTGGATCCGAGCTGCACCCTTAGGTCCGTCTTTCTTCCGACCCATATCCCTGCGGCCTGTGTCTGTTCCCTGTGTGTCTTCTTCTTTTTTTTCTTTGTGTCGTCGTCGTTGTCGTCTTACTAATTGACGATTCTTGCTTTTTTTTCCTCCAAAAGGCTACCGATCCTTGCCCCGGCCGCCTGAACTCTACCCACAAATGCAGAACTTACAGTCGTACATCGACGGGCTCCCTGTGCAGCTCCAGACGAAGGTCTCTGCCTTGACTTCGTTCCCGTCTCTCACCGAAACTATCCCCACCACCGTCGCCAGCTATGCCACGATCACGTCCATCCTGCAGCAGGCCCGAGCCAACCAAATCTCCGCCTACCACGCCCTCCAGGTGGTGACGAACTCGGTGTCAACCATCAGCTTGGTCAACGACATCATCCAGGCCCAGGCCACCGTGCAGTATTACAGCTACCTGGAGGAGGCTGCCACAGCCACAAACTCCGCCGTCAAGGCGTCCCTCATGACCGAGGCCGTGAGGGCCTCGGAGGTCATGTTCGACATGTTCAACGACGAAGCCTTTTACAAGGGTAACTACCCCTCTCTTGGCGGTAACATCGCCCTCTTGGTGGTGTACTCCTTCTTTTTCGCTCTCCAGGTTATCTCCGGTGTCTTCTACCACCAGTGGTGGTTCTTGACATGCTGGTCCTGCGGCATGGCACTCGAGGTCTTGGGTTACGTCGGCCGTATCTGGTCCCACGAAAACATCCAGAACTTTGACGCTTTCGTCATGCAGCTTGTCTGCTTGACTCTCGCCCCCTGTTTCATGATGGCCGGGATTTACTACGTCATCGCCCAGTTGACCCTCATCTTCGGCCAGAAGTTCTCTGTCTTGCGGCCAATGCAGTACTCCCTCATCTTCATCATCTGTGATATCATATCCATCATCCTCCAGGCCGTTGGGGGTGGTGTGGCCGCGGGCGCATTGTCCGTGTACCAGTCGACCCAGCAGGGCTCTAACATCATGGTCGGTGGCTTGGCCTACCAGGTCTTCACCATTGCTCTTTTCCAGTTCTTTTGGTACCTCTTCTTTTTCAGAGTGTACAGGAGTTACAAGAAACACGGAGATGCAGAATTCAACCCGGACTTCGCCCATATTCGACAAAGGAAGTTTTTGATACCGTTCATATGTGCGGTTTCTTTTGCCGTCGTGTTGATCTTTGTCAGATCTATCTATAGATTGATTGAGCTTGCAGAAGGTTGGTCCTCCACTTTGGCCGTCGACGAAATTTACTTCATGATCTTGGAGGCGCTGATGGTCTCTTTGGCAAGTTGTGTGCTCTCATTCATGAGTCCCGGTCTTGCATACGGTAGACACTCGCACATCTACCTCGACAAGTCACTCAAGGCGACCTTCAGCAAGCACTACACCGCTGGCGAACAAGACAGTAGCAACGAGAAGGACGTTTCCCTGAACTCAGATGGTCTGGACCTAGAAACCGAAGACAACAATGACGACGCTGCCTTTTATGAGACCCACAACGGTTCCAACATGAACTCGGGAGGTGGATATCAGTTTGATGATCAGCGCACGCACGTAGATGACCCGTATGAGCATGGCGCAAATAATGCATGATTGTCGGCTGTTGATAGCTGTAATCCAGAAACAAATCTGACAAAATACCCTACTTGAAGTCCGTTATTCTTTTACAGTCCAACTCCAGTTCAGCCCAGTTCAATCTATCAAAGCCAGACTGGTCCATGCCACCTTCCTTTGCTCTTACACAACTTCAAAAACAATAACTAATAAACTTGTACCTTTCACTGGTACAGAGTATCATGAATCATGAAAGCTTCAATTAGCATCCCGTTATTTCCGTTTATGACTTCATTTCTACTCCAATTCTTATTTGTTCTATCAATTCTTTTCATTCCTCTTTTCCGTATTCGTATTAGTACTCTATTCTTCTTCTTCTTCTTCTTCTTTTATTCTTCTTCTTCTTTTTCTTCTTCTTCTTCTTTGTAGCCTGCTGTCTTTTTCTCTCCCTTTTCCCCCAAAAAGGCAAATCACATTTAGCATGGAACTTGCACAACTCAAAAGAAATTAATGGGGTTCCATCTCCCAATTTATATAAATCTGTTTATTTTCTAATGTCTCTAAATTGAAAACTAAGCCACCATTTACCGAAGCCACCTTTAAATCGATGTGATTTATCCGGTTTATTTGATTTATTTGATTTTTTTCGGTAAAAAGAAACGCGTGCGAGGCGTCGGAGATTTCGATTTTCCATTGATAACAAAGGTAATTTACAAAGCAATTACATCTTCTGACGTATAACGCTATTATAAGTACTCGGTCTGCACACCGATCTAATTGTTCAACTATGGTAACGTTTTACCGATGCATGCACACGTTGAAAGTGCGAATCCCCATTCCGAGAGATTTGCAAGAAAGAAAATTGGCTGAACTCAAGCTTTTTAAAGAAGTTCGTGACAAAACAGTAGAGGGAAAATCTGCAAAATATTCAGATGAGGAGGTGCATTTCAGGATCTCGAAACTTGGTAGTTCCTCTAGTGCCAAACAGGAGAAGGGGAGCCAACCAATAGGTCTAAGCGAGTCCGGTAAGTCTTTTCTTCCTGTTCCCAGAAGCATTCAAAACTTTCGTAATCCATTAAATGTACGAATAGATGCACTGGCGGATTATCTTGCGTGCAGAAAGAATACCAGACACTTACCAAGCAAATTTATCACTTCAAGAAAACTTACACCATATGATGAACTTTGCCAAGTTGAAGATAACAGTATTGCGAGATTATCAGTAACGAAGATTTTGCCACACGCTTACTGTGAATTGAAGGACATGTACCAACTATACTTGGGGGGCATTCGAGTGCAAACTCGAGCGATGAAAGACGGAAAGAAAATCCATCAAGTCTTAGAAGAGTCTATTCATCCACAAATTGATCTCTGCTTGGAGACTTTATCAGGAGAGGACGAGATAGTGAGGATAGATAAATCTACAAACCTTTATGAGTTAAAACCAGCTAAAGAGACGAGAACAGAAATGGATAAGATGGCAGCAGAGATGGGTAAGCTACAAGTACAATCCGGCGATGAAGACACTACGCTCCACAAAGAGCCACTTACAATGAAAGACCCCCTCCAGTCTGAACAGCTGGATACGGAGGAGAAAAGAATGAAATATCTGAAAGAAAATTACAATATCGAGGATACTACTAGTGATGGCGTGGAAAAATCGAAAGAGGCTGTTGTTTTAGATGATGGACAAGAGGCAGAAGAAGATCAGATTCAAGTAAGGCCTATGGATCTAGAGGAAACGGCAGAAATTGATGTAAAGAAAGAAACTAATGGCGAACTCATAGTTATAAAGCTGAATGATATTGAGTTGATTGCGAAGTCTCAAGTACACAAAATAGCGCAAACAATAAGAAGACTCATAAATCTGTTTGAATTTGGCAAAGGACGTGAGATTCTAGTCCATGCCCTTTATGATCGTAAAAGAGAAAAATTGTTGACCGAAATACCAGCAGGTGAGGGGATTATTCCTGAAGACTGCATCATTATCAGCGGAATCATTGATGACCTCCATTTAACAAGTAATCATGAAGATGCATTTAGGGCCTTCCAAAGAGAACTCCAGTATGAACTCAAAAAAGCGTTTGATTTTGAAGAAACTTTTAGGGCAATTAGAAACAAGACCAAGCAGTGGACAGATGCAGACGATCCGATGTTATATCTGGTTGTCAATGATGACAAGTCACGGAGCGACAAAAGAAAACCTTCCCCGAGATACCAGAAAACACAGCTACTCCAAGTGGGTATGTATCGGAAATTCCTTGGTATCTTGTCGAAAGACGTCAATTTCACATACGAATCATGGAGGTACAACATGGAATGCCGGATGGAGTCTTTAGACTTGCCGTTGGATAATACACTAGTGAGCTTTTCATATTTTGTGAATCATTTTTTACTCAATGACTACATTAAGCTTAAGCGTGGTGAACCGTTGGAGTTTACCGGAATATCGCGTCCACCTCTGCAAACCGCAGAAAGGTTTGCTAAGCCATACACTTTCATTAACACCACAAATGTGAAAGAATTGGATATACTTGAGGGAGAGTGGGTACATCCTCCGACACTAGCACACATTTTGGGGAGACTAGCGCAGGCCCAATGTTTGCTGAATGATTTCTTATCGGACAGACTTCAGGTAACCTATGTTAGTCGTTCTACGGGTGAATGTCTGAATGTTATTTCCGGCAAATACGACGGTGATTATGTGAGCGAACAAATCGGAGAGGGAATGGATCTTTGGATGGGGAAGAGAGAGCCTAGTGCTACCAACTATGAACAAGCTTGTAACTACTGTGATTTCAAAAACAAGTGTGAGATACCAGACCGCCTAAAAGGTCTCTTGTAAACTAGACGATTTTAAGCATTTTTGTTAGGTTTCTTTCGATTAGATTTTATAAAATAAAATATACAAAGTATTGTCTCCAATAAAAACAATGCACATCAAGACAGAAAATACTTCATCAAATTTGAAGCTTCTAAAAATAACAGTTGCAGGCAAAGGGTGGAACAAGTCTTTACCAATTACGAAAAAAAGCAGCAAATTTGAAGTGGAACAAGTATTAACGTGATGATGGGAACGCATCCGGAGGACATGTAAAAACAAAAATGGCTTCCCCCTTCTCTCTCTATTTTTTCCCGTGACAGATAGTTTGTCAATGATATCCTTCTCCAAAAATATCATGACCTGAAAGAACGTGGGTGATCAATGATCAAAAGCAAAATGTAACCATTAAGCGGGCACGAAACATACCCATGGCAATAAGCGTATGATGCATAAGCAAACGTTTGGAACTAACGCGCCTACACCATCAAAGCAAAACCGGCAATAAGACCTGCAATACCACCAGTCAAAGCGTTAGCTCTGAGGTCGTTAGCACCTGCAACATAAATTGAGATGCTGCTGCTACTTTGGGTAGCAGCAGTGGCTGATGTTGACGAGGTGAAAACGATTGTAGAACTTCTAGAAGTGACAGTGGATGTAGAAGCACTTGAAACAGGGGTACCTGGTACAACACTGGTTGTAGAAGCACTTGAAATAGTGGTACCTGGAACAGTGGTGGCAGTATTGGTTGGTGCAAGTGGGCAGTAGGTAGTGTAAGTAGAAACAGTTTCATCCACAGTGGTAGTAACAACAGAACCGACAGCTGGGACGGTGTGCAAGGTACAGCCATGATCGGCACAAGAAGTGATGGTCAATGTGGTGGTTGAACCAACAATAACTTTGGTACCAGGAGCAGAAGTGACAGGAGTCTCAGTACACTTGCCGTCGGAACAGCTGGTGATAGTTTTACTCAAAGTGGTTTTAGTGGTGACAACGGAACCGGTACCATTAGTTGGCACTTCGGTGCACTTGCCGTCGGAACAGCTGGTGATAGTTTCGCTCGAGGTGGTCTTGGTGGTCACAGTGGAACCAGTCTTGGTGCAGTGTTCTTCGGTGCAGACAGTGGAGCCGACAGTAGAAGTAGTGGTGGCGGTACCGTGGGTTGCAGAAGAAGAAGACAAAGACGTGGTCAAAGACGAGGTCAAAGTCCCAGATGATGAGGAAGACGAGGACGAGATCGAAGTCTCAACTGATGAGGAAGACGAGGACGAGATCGAAGTCTCAACTGATGAGGAAGACGACTCGGACGAAGTGGAAGCTGGGGTCGAGGAAACTGGCACGGCGCTGGACGACGAGCCGCCTGGCTTATTGATGGTGGAGGACAAATCAAACGTCTGGACGTCTCTCTTGGCAAACGAGCCGGAAGGAATGATGTCCAAAGCAAGAGTGAAGTCCACCGAATAAGACGAGGCGCTGCTGTCAAAACCTGGGGCAAAGACGATCTTCAAGAGAGGGGCCTGGGTCTTACCATCGAAGGTGATCCCGCCGATGCTCTTGGAGTAGATTGCGCCTGGGTTGACAAAGTTGCCGATGTCACCGCTGTAGAGCGTGAACGCGTCCGCGGAGGCAATTGCCGAGCTGAGGTGGTTCAAAACGAGCTCCAGACCGGTGAAGTTGTACACGTCCTGCGGAATGTAGATCGACCAAACTGGTGCGTCGACCCACTCACCGACAATGGTAGGGGCCGAGTACTGGTGGGACACGGCGCCCGAGTACGCTGGTCCGTAGACGCTGACGGCAGAAACGGACGTGGCTGTGGAGCACGACGTCGAGTTGTCATACCGCTTGTAGATGTTTTGCGCTGCGGAGGAGCCGCCGGAGAGCGACAACAGCCCGAGGGATACTGAGGTGAGGAGACTGTTCAATCTGACCATTGTTTCTGCTGGAGTTTTTGTTTCAAGGGGATACTGGAGAAGTATTGAAAACAAAAATAGGTCAAACTATTGGGGTGGGAAAAAATAGATCGAGTTGGGTTGCTAAAGGAAAGAAGAAAAAAGAGGGAGAAAACAAAAAACTACACAACGAGAAGAAAGAGAGGAGAAAGAAAAAAAGAGAAACCAACTACAACGTCCTAGCAGGAAGAAAGAACGAGCACAGCAGCAGCAAATCCCCCGCAGAGAACCAACCAGCAGGGAACCTGCTCTTTTATAGTTCCTCGAGCACCGAGGCCTGCAACAATAATGCTTCTGCCGCGCATACAAATCCGGCGGCATGGTGCCCCACAACGGGAACGCGCCCGCCCAGCAACGCTGCAGCAAATCCGCGACTAAACGCGCTAGCGCGCTGCGGGCCCTGCCAACGGACCGAGGAGCAGCCGAGAAGGACCGGTACGGATGGCGGGTGGCAGGGCAGCTGCCCGATGCGGAAATGCTGGTTTGTAGCGGGTAGATGGGTGGGATGGTTTTACATTCAGAGAAAGGGTACATGAAGGGGCTAGCGGGTGAAGATATCGTCGTCGTACTCCTCTTCCTCAAAGCCTTCGTCGTCGAAGCTTTCGGAGTCGCTGCCGGCGACGACGGAGGACGCAGGGTCGGTGTCGTCGCTTTCGCTCTCGTAGAGGACGCCGTCGCTGAGCTCGTCGAGGGAGATGTTTTTGAGGGTTTCACCCTTGAGGTTGACGTTCTTGCCGACGGTGTAAGAGCCCTCGACGTTGCAGTTCACGAGACGGGCACGGTGCTCCATGCGGACGTTCTTGCCGACGATGCAGTTTTCAAGCTGGACCTCGTCGTCGAGGGTGACGCCGTCGAGGAGGATGCATCCGGAGATGCGGCAGCGACGGCCGATGTGCACGTTGTGGCCGATGACGCTTCGCTTGACGTTGGTGCGCTCGCCGAGGACGCTGTCGTGGCCGACGATGCAGTCGCTGCCGACGGTGGCGGAGTCCTTGTTCTCCTTGTTGGCGTTGTTGTGTTTGTTGGGGTTGAATCTGGCCACGTCCCGCAAGAAGTAGCGGTTCATCTCCATGTATACGGGGAGGTTGTTGCAGCGCACAAAGAGCGCGTTCTGCGGAAGGGCAAAGAGGCCGATGGTCGACTTACTGTCAGAGTGCTGCCACGAGTTGCGGGCGAGGTCCCGCTTGATCTTGTTGATGGGCCGGTGCGGCTGGATGTCGCTAACGCTGTGCTGGCGACAGCGCCCGCTCATGAAGAAGATGAACGAGTCCAGCAGCGTGGTCGACACAAGCGTGCTCGGGTACCGCCACAAGAGCTGCGAGCGGATCTTCAAGAACTTGTCCACCGTCACAAAGTCCTTCGAGTACATGTCCAGCAGGACCATGTTCCCGTTCTCCTGGTTCGAGTACACGGTGTAGTTGCTCCGCAACACCTTCTTGTCCACCGCCTCAAAGATATTGTTGTAGAACAAGCTCAGCCCGATGTTCTCGTCGCTGTTTCCGCGGTACACCTCGATGAACACCTGCGGCGGAACGTCCGTGATGAAGTCGCACGGCAACACCACATAGTTCTCGTGGCTCTTGTCGCCCTCTTCAACGGGAAAGATCTCCGACAGAATCGCACCGGTCGACTTGAGCGCAGACGTGAAGATCCGGATCGGACTCGTGTTCCGGAGCTCCGCATCCCTATGCTTCTCGTACTGGGCCACCACCTCTCCAATCTGCTTCTCATCCCTCATCTCGGTCACAATGTTCACCGTCTGGAACGGCGCCTGATCGCACCACTCTAGCACGTACTCAATCAGCGGCTTGTTCGCCACAGGCAACAACGCCTTGGATATTCTTGACTCTCCCGGCGACGTGAGCGGAACCAAGTTGTGGCCCTCTCCACAGAATATCACCGCATTGAACTCCATCTCCTGGCGTTCTCTATATTGCTCTTATCTGTATTTTTGCCCTTCTGCTGGCTTTCCGGTCCTTCCCCCCGAATCTGGCTCCCCCGAAGTAACTTCCCGTCGGTGACAGACGGCCTGTTCCAAAAAATTTTCAATCAGACTCTCCCTCTCTCTTCCTCTTTCTCTCCGCCAGGGCCTCTACGCTCTTTTTTTTCCTCACCTCTTCCGTGCCGCTGCTCGCATTGGGCTTGAGTCCTTCCACGCTACGGGTGGCGAACCTCACTGATTTGCCTCTCATTGCATGCACGACATGAATGTGTCGACGCATGGGGCTCCTTTCTCCTTGTGAACCAGGCCAATTCCCGCATACAGAGCAAACAGCAACCTGCAGAGAATAATTGCCACTGCACAGACACCATGAGTGAAGAAAACGACCCTCTTTTAGCGGCCCTCAACGAAGACGATAACAATCAGAACCAAGATCAAAACCCAAACTCCAACGGAAGTGGGAATGGAGAGGAAGACAGTAATGAAGGACAGCAGACACAGACACAGAGCCAGGCAGTAAGAGACGCTGATGGGGATGTGGAAATAACAAACGCAGAGCCCGAGCAGAGGGAAGTGATAGATCCAGCAGAGAGAGAGCGTGAGGAGGCCTTGACTGCGTTGAAGAACAAGCTCATCGAGCATTTACACTACGAAACAAAGCTCAAGGAGATGCGCAAGAGCCTTATTGACTTGGACCGTGAGTTTGACAAAACAGAAGACGACATAAAGGCTTTGCAGTCCATTGGTCAAATAATCGGCGAAGTCTTAAAACAGTTGGACAACGAACGTTACATCGTGAAGGCGTCATCAGGCCCTAGATACATCGTCGGATGCCGTCTGACCCTCAATAGGGAGAAGTTGGTAAAGGGTGTCAGAGTTGCATTGGATATGACAACATTGACCATCATGCGTATATTACCACGTGAGGTTGATCCTTCCGTTTACAACATGACAACTTTCGAGCCCGGTGAGATCTCCTTCACCGGGATCGGTGGTTTGACTGAGCAGGTCAGAGAGTTGAGAGAAGTCATTGAATTGCCTTTAAAGAATCCTGAACTATTCCAAAGAGTCGGAATCAAACAGCCAAAAGGTGTTTTGCTCTATGGACCTCCTGGTACAGGTAAAACCTTGTTGGCCAAGGCAGCGGCTGCAACAATCGGTGCCAACTTCATATTTTCTCCAGCGTCCGCCATTGTGGATAAGTATATCGGTGAGTCAGCAAGGTTGGTGAGAGAAATGTTCAGTTACGCCAGGGAGCACGAGCCGTGTATCATCTTCATGGATGAAGTCGACGCTATTGGTGGTCGTCGGTTCTCAGAGGGTACATCCGCAGATCGTGAAATCCAAAGAACCTTGATGGAGTTGTTGAATCAAATGGATGGGTTTGATTCTTTGGGGCAAACAAAAGTCATCATGGCCACCAACAGACCGGACACCTTAGATCCTGCACTATTGAGACCTGGTAGATTGGATAGAAAAATTGAAATCCCATTACCGAACGAGAGCGGACGCTTGGAGATCTTCAAGATCCACATTTCAAGTGTCCAAAAGCAGGGAGAGATTGACTTTGAGCCATTGGTCAAGATGAGTGATGGTTTTAACGGTGCCGATATTAGAAACGTCATTACCGAAGCTGGGTTTTTCGCCATCAGAGAGGATAGGGATTATATCATTCAAAGCGATCTATTGAAGGCAGTGAGAAAGATGGTTGATAACAAGAAACTTGAAGGTAAGCTGGACTACGAAAAACTTTGATAGGAAGAGTAATACTTTTATTAATTGTAGTAATAATGGCTTCTTGCTTGTAACGCGATGACCGACCCCATGGTGAAGTTCTACGTATATACTTAACATGTAAACAACGCTTAAGCTCAAAACGATCTATTACACTTTGGATGGGTATGTGTGTACATACAGAGATATAGACATTCGTATAAATATTGCAAAACTTCTATATACAGATTCGAGGAATGTTCGGGGAGGTAAAGAGTGTGTGGGATTGAAAAAGCATGGACATTAGCGCTTGCACTTGCATTAGCACTAGATATGAAGCTTCTTTGATCTCTTCAACTTGTATTTTTCTTCAACGTAACTTTTGATCTTGTTCATCTCTTGGTTCTCCCTCACTTTCTCATCGTACAATTTCTTCTGTTTCTCTCTGAAGAGTTCAGTTGGGTCTTTGTAGCCTGGAGACATCTTGTTGATGAACTTCGCGTAATGAGGATCCGTGATGTTGTTCAAGAAAGAAGCAACCTTGTCACCAATCAGACTGACGGTCTCGGGTAATGGTTCCTTTGGTAGAGAAGCCTTTATCTGTTTTCTTTCTTCAATCGCAGCCAACTTGGCCTCGCTCAAAGGCATTGAAGGAGGGTTCAATCTCTTCACGTCACTCTTCGTCAAGTACTCTTTGCCCCATTTGTAAGGTCTCTTCATCAACGGATGTCTCATCGACTTGGAGAGGTCGCTTGGCGAGTCAGAGAAGACTATCGAGTTCGGGAAAAAGGTTCTCTCCTCAACCAACTCCCCGGACGTCGAGTATGCGCAATCCTGGACAGGCTCTGGTCTAGGCCATGGGATAATGATGTTTTCATTGTATTTCACTCTTCTGTAAGGCATCATCTTTTTGTAATCCTCGTCCCAGTACTCACCGCTGAACACAAGCTTGTCGGCCGCTATCTTCTTCTCCGTTCCGTCTTCCTCGACCAAGGTCCCGACGACCTTCAAGTCCTTTGGGTGTTGCGGTAATGGGTAGTCAATAATGTGCGACGTCTGGCCCGGCTGCCAGTACTGCTTAGGCACAGCGACTCTTTTGGTTTCACTGTGTTCCAGAAAGACACGGTTGGTCTCGTTCTGTAGCGCAACCACCTTCGTCACCGTCCCGGAATACTTCCCTTTGGTGATCATGACTATGTCCCCCGGCTGGACGGTCCACTGCTGAGGCAGCTTGTAGCGCTTCTTCTCATCCACCTGTCCGGACTCAGAACGGAAGGCTGGGATCTGCGACCGCTCTTGCATCTGTTCGAACATCTTACGGATGTAGTGTGGGTAACGGGTGAGCTCCCTACCATAACGCTTGGAGTTTATCTTCGCAAGAGAGGACATCGCTGGTTGCTGTTGTTCCGGATATTCACTTCAAGTCAAACTCTGAGGGGGGACCGATCTGCCTAATTCACTCAACTCTCTTCACCACTGCTTCCAATCTCTCTCTCAAACTTCATTTTTCATTTCCATTTCTCACATCCCGTTTTCCATACTCACTACTACCTCTCTACCCTCACATCTTTTTTTTCCGAAGAGCTTCACCCTGGCGTGTTCCTCCGTGCACCAGAATCCCAGACCTTCCCCGCGACACACTCTCTTGTCGCACCCCTCAAGCTGCCATTTTGTTGATCGTGCCACTAAGTTTTGGATCAAAAAATGCTCAGCGGTTTAGATCTTTTCCACCGGGAGTTGCCCGATGCGGCAGAATTGCGGCTCGTCCCGCGCGACAGAAACTGGAGTTGTACCCCTCTCCTGTTATCACCATATGCACCCCGGGGCGGAGACAATCAGCCCAATTTCATGATGTTAAATTACTCAAATTTCCGTGGCAGTGGCAGCTCGGGTGCGGACTTGCCCCATTCTGATTTGCGCCAAGGTTGTTTGTTGCCAGATAGCTGTGCTCTGGGTCCTCTCTTTCTGGTGGCAAAGCAAGGTAAATTGGAGTGGTTCCTGCTGGTTGTTTACACACGAGCACCACCACACACTCACACACACAAACACAGACTGCGAAAGCGAGGTGAACACTAAGACATGGCAGAGCTAATCACAAAGAAACAGAAGCTCAATTTGAAAGCATACCACCATGTGGCTTCCTACCCGGTTTTGGAGGAGACGGCAGACTATGCCGTGTCGTTTTCGTTTGTCAAGCTGCTAGCTGATCAGGCGTCCAGCACGTTGCACCAGCTCCTTGCGTACCTATCCTCGTTCGAGTTGGTGGTATCCTACTGGAACTACATCGACGCAACGTTGGAAGGCTGGTTGAGCAGCTTGGACGGCAGGGTCCCGATCCTCAAGTCGGCCTCCTTCCAGTCGGCGTACAAGGGCGTTCAGGACTACTACAACTCGATCATTGCTAGCATAAGCGCAAAACTGAGCTCGTTATCAAAGTCCGTGCAGCCAGCCGCGGACAGAGTCACCAAGTTCTTTGACCCGGTTCTCAAGGTTACCAACGACTACTACGAGTATGTGCTCAACTTGATTCTGCCATACTCCAAGCAACTGGAGGCAGACCTCAAGGAGGCGCCGGAAACTGTGAGAACGCAGTACCAGAGAACGTTGTCCCTCTTTGGCGAGACTTACCACCGGCTTTCTTCCACTGCGTCGAACGTGTCCAAGATCCCATCCCACGTCACCACTACCTACAAGAACGAGTTGAAAGAGTCGACGTCCACCACACAAGCGGTCTCAAAGACAACCAGAAAGCTCTCAAACGACGCCTACCAGACCATCAAGCCCACTTTGGACCGGGTGGTTGGCGTCGGCAACAACGCCGCCACCTCCACCATCGACAAGGTGGAGCCTGTCGTCGGCGAGTTGAAGGATTCGATTGCCCACGCCACTGGCGTTGAAGTTCACTGATGGGGAAAAGCTAAGGACCTTGGACAGGTCTAATTTTTACCCCTTTTCCCCCCTGGTCTGATTTAATTCATATTCAATTCTCCCTATATTTGTCTTTCATACTGAACCCAGACGGGTTGTTGTTCTTGTTCCCCTATCCCTTATTTTCTCGCCCATACCTGTTTTTCTCCTTCTCCCCCATTCTTTATTCCTTATCTTTTTTTTCCTATCCCTCTCCTGCCCCTTATTCCTTTTATAACTTCTGCATGCTCATGCGTGCACGCGTTCGGCCGGTGTCTATTTTTCTTTGTTTGTGTCTCTTGCTCCCGTCGCTATTGTCTTTAATATTATCCGGTGTCTATATAAAAATTCCACTGTTCACATATACTTGCCCGTCCCTATCCGTCTTGTGCATCGGCCTCACTGCCTCTGTGGTTCCACCGCCAGAACCCCGGCAGGCACCGTGCCTGAGCAACACCGATGCTCCGCCTGATTACGTAACCGCCCCTCATGCACGCCAGCAAGCGATGCGTGCAGATATGACGTTTCCCTAAAGCCCCCGCTGCAGCTAGCGAGATGTCATCATCTCGGTGCTTGCTGGCCGGAGGCTGTGTAGATGGGGGGCCTGTGGCAGCAGGCGCAGTACGGCACATGTATCCCGTACCGGCGGGACTGCACCGGCCGGTGAGGGCAAACGGCGGCGGAGTGCTGTGCCGTGCCGTTGCTGGAGTGCCGGCAAAGGCTGCTGCGACAGAGGCCCAGCCGTCCTTGGCCTCGGTCCTCGTCCCCGTCCTCGTCCCGGCTCGGATCGTGTCCTCTTTCCCAGGCAGCGAACCGGCGCGGCGAGTGGAATCCCAAAAAAGCGACTATTTTTGATTTTTTGTGTTTTTTTGCAGTGCTATTAGTGGCAACAACTAAAATCTTTGTTTTGCCCGCTTAAGGATGTTTTGGGTTGGGGTTGAGGATTGCGGTAGGGCAATCTGGTGGAGGCTTCTGTTGCTCAGCGTGTCTGTCTCGTACTGGTTGTCGGTGTTGTCCTTGTGCTGGTGTTGCTGGTGTTGCTGCAGACACTCCGCCACGACTGGAAGCTTAGAACACACCACGCTATACTGGAGTAAACTATACTGCACGGCAGAAAAGGGGGGAAAGATCGTTTGAGCGGTTGTTTGTTATTGTTGCGACTTCTATAATTGCATTCTGCTACAGAGTATAGAAGATGCTGGTTTCGACAAATCGACATCAGTTATCGTCCGACATACACACGATCCTTTCGGACCCAAAGGAGTTTGGGTGCAAGAACGACAATGTCAGGATCAAACTATTGGAGTATTTGAAGGACCTAGAGTCGGAGAACACGAACTTGAAGAAAGCGCTGGAAATCAAGTCCAAGCGAAACGAGGCTTTCCGGAACTCTTTGTCTGAGATAGGCGAGGTGATAACGTCCGTTGCCCTTGGAGATCTCTCGAAAAGAGTGATTGTGAACAGCAAATACATCAAGAACAGTAGCGTCGTGTCCAAGGGAAACATCGGCGTTGGCGGACTGGACGATGGTGCCGACCACGCGGAGGACGACGAAGGCGACCAGCTCAACGATCCGGAGATCTTCAAGGTCAAGAAGACGATCAACTTCATGGTGGATCAGTTGGACAACTTCACGACAGGCGTCAACGAGTTGGCGAACCAGGTTGCCAACGGAAAGTTGGGTGGGAACGTCAAATACCAAGACGCTAAAGGGGTTTGGAACGACTTGATTGTGAACGTGAACGCCATGGCTAATAACTTGACCAACCAGGTGAGAGAGATCTCCATCGTCACCTCGGCTGTCGCCAACGGTGACTTGTCCCAGAAGATCAAGGTCGAAGCACAAGGTGAAATATATGCATTGCAAAACACCATAAATACAATGGTGGATCAGTTGCGAACATTTGCGTTCGAGGTTACAAGGGTTGCCCGAGAAACAGGTGTCGAAGGTAGATTGGGGGGACAGGCTCAAATTCAAAACGTTTCTGGTATTTGGGAAGAGTTGACTGATAACGTCAATGCGATGGCGTTGAACTTGACCACACAGGTGAGAAACATCGCCAACGTCACCACGGCTGTGGCAAACGGTGATCTATCGACCAAGGTCACTGCAAATTGTAAAGGTGAGATTCTAGAGTTGAAAAACACCATCAATGGAATGGTGGATAGATTGAGAACATTCGTCGAAGAGGTGAGAACCTTGGCCACCGAGGTCGGCACCAAGGGTATATTGGGAGGACAGGCTAACGTTACAGATGTCGAAGGTGCTTGGAAAGATGTCACTCAAAAGGTCAACGTCATGGCCAACAACTTGACAAATCAAGTCAGATCGATCGCAACCGTCACGACGGCTGTTGCCCATGGTGACTTGTCCCAGAAAATTACTGTTGAAGCTCAAGGTGAAATTTTACAATTGAAGGACACAATCAACAAGATGGTGGATTCTTTGCAAGTCTTTGCAATAGAAGTTACCAAGGTGGCCAAGGAAGTCGGTATCGACGGTAAATTGGGTGTACAGGCAGAAGTAAACGATGTCGAAGGTCTATGGAAAGAAATCACAACCAACGTCAATACAATGGCATCCAACTTGACATCGCAAGTCCGTGCCTTTGCTCAGATCACTGCAGCTGCAACAGATGGTGATTTCACAAGGTTCATTACTGTCGAAGCATCTGGTGAGATGGATGCCTTGAAGACAAAGATTAATCAGATGGTCTTAAATTTGAGAGAATCGATCCAAAGGAACACTGCTGCAAGAGAAGCAGCAGAGTTGGCCAATAAAACAAAGTCCGAGTTTTTAGCCAACACATCACACGAAATCAGAACCCCAATGAATGGTATTATAGGTATGACACAGCTAACATTAGAAACAGAGTTGACCCAATATCAACGTGAAATGTTGTCTATCGTTCACAATTTGGCAAACTCTTTATTGACAATTATCGACGATATTTTGGACATCTCCAAGATCGAGGCAAACAGAATGACTATTGAGCAAATCGACTTTTCATTGCGAACAACAATGTTCGGTGCGTTGAAAACTTTGGCTGTCAAGTCCATTGAAAAGCAGTTGGACTTGATTTACGAAGTTGACTACTCATGTCCTGATTACCTTGTCGGTGATTCCTTCCGTCTCAAGCAAGTCATCCTCAATTTGATTGGTAATGCAATCAAGTTTACTAGTAAGGGTAAGATCATAGTTTCCACAACAAAGCGTGAAACTGTGAGTGAAAAAATCAAGCTAGAGTTCTGCGTCTCGGATACAGGTATCGGTATACCAAAGGATAAGTTAGACCTGATCTTCCACAATTTCTGCCAGGCAGATGGTTCAACCACTAGAAAATTCGGTGGTACCGGTTTAGGTTTATCGATTTCTAAACAATTGATACATTTGATGGGAGGTGATATATGGGTCACCTCTGAGTATGGCAAAGGTTCAAAGTTCTTTTTCACCATCTTAGTTTCGACAGTAGATATTACATTGAAAAAGCAGTTGGAAATCTTACGTCCATATAGGTCTCATAAAGTGTTGATCGTGGCAACAGAAGTCATCAAAATCAATTTGGAGGTCTTGATGTCGAATCTTTCAAATTTGAAACTGGATCCTCACATCTTAAAAATAAACGAATTAAATAACGAGTTACGTATTCCAGATGCAGATTCTTATGACACAATTATTATAGATTCCTTACAAACAGGTTACAAGCTAAGACTATTACCAGAAATCAAGTATATACCATTGGTTCTCTTACACCCATGTTTACCAGAGTTGAATATGAGAGTCTGCTTAGACCTTGGTATCACATCCTATGGTAATATTCCTTGCTCAATTACAGATTTAGGATCTGTACTATTACCTGCCCTCGAATCCAAGATTCTACCTCCAGATAATGATGGAACAGTTTCGTACAAGATTTTATTGGCGGAAGACAATTTGGTGAATCAAAAATTGGCTGTCAAGATTTTGGAAAAACATGGTCATAAGGTTGTCGTTGTCGAAAACGGCCAAGAGGCAGTTGAAGCAATCCAGAATGATACCTACGATGTCGTTTTGATGGACGTTCAAATGCCTGTCATGGGTGGTTTTGAGGCTACGGGTTTGATCAGAGAATGGGAGAAAAAGAAGTACGCCGATGCCGCCATATGTTTCAAAACTCCAATTATTGCATTGACTGCCCATGCCATGTTGGGTGACAGAGAACGTTGTTTGAAGGCCCAAATGGATGAGTATCTTTCCAAGCCTTTGAAGCCTGGTTTATTACTACAGACGATTTCCAAATGTATACATAACATGAATCAGCTTCGAGAAATTAGTCAGCTCGGGGATGGTAGCAGGGACGTCAACTCGTCAGAGTTCAAGCAATACGTTAATCGAGAATTGCTGAAACGAAACAGTACCGAAAATGCTTTGACCTATGATAAGACCGGCGATTAGCAAGTTGAAGTGTGATTTTGATGCGAAGACACAGTTTGTTTTTCCGTTTTGCATTATCAAGATGTACTGAGATGGTATATTAAGTGGTTATTATATTACATATTTTTTGTTTTTTTTCTTTGCATGTTTAAGGCCAGCAGACTCAAGTACCTCACTTTGTACTCGAGTTTGGCTGTACATCATTCTTTCGAACTTAAAGTAAGACGTTTCATTCTATTACAATGAGTATCTAATTTCCAGCCTTTTCTTTTTTCTCTTATACTCTTCCTTCATTCCTCTTTACTTTTCAACATTTGTTTTTTTTTAAATTTTTGTTTCACTTTTTTACTTTAAATTTAATCTTTGGTCGTCTTTGTGAGACAGGACAAGACGTGTATTCAAGACAATTATTTGGTTCGGAGCTTTAATTTTAATTTACTTTTCTACAGAAACTTTTTATAATATAGTACTTACGAGAGATCAAACCCAGCCTTGCTGTTAATCGAATATAACAATTTTTCTCTCAATAATTCTTTGTCTCTGTAATCCGGAATTTTGAGAAGATTGACACACGTCGATGCTGTCGGTAACCTGCTCGTATCGCTTCCTGAATTCCGGATTCCAAATTTAGGATTCAATTCCTTGAACCCCAATAAGGGTTGTTTTGGAGAAGAAGTAACAAACTTTACAAACTTCCCCCGGTCCGTTCGATCGAACTCTCTCAAGATGGTGAACAAATCGTGCACTGTTTGATCTGATTCCAAAAAACCACCATACTCCACATTCCGCTGTAAGTCGTCGATATCAATTGCATCGTCATCACCAGATATCAACGTTTGAAGCTCAAACGGATTGAATAGAAGCAACCAATAAGGTTTTATCACTTGAAATAATCCTTCAACGAAATACTTCATAACTAGATCGGTCTGTTTCGATAATTTGAAGGACGTCATCAATCTTACAAATTGCATTTTGTTGTTCACTGTAACAGGTACCGGTTCAGGGGCAGAATCAGGTGATTTCTTCTGCGGCGGTATCAACGGTACTTCAACATGATGCAAGTTCCCATCTTCATCGTAAAATATGTCATCAACCGTGAATAAAAGAGACATGCTTTCAAATTTTTCCGGGTCAGTCTGAACCAAAATGTAATTTAAACTGCGGCACAAGGACAAGTCCAAATTCTTTAGCTCATCAAACGAATTGTTATGTCCAACAACACTGATTTTCTCTCCAATAAGATTCTTGAAATACTTACTTCCAAGTGTGGCACAAGTATTCAAAAAAAAGGATGTGAATGAGATATCAAGCAAAACATTATCGTACAAACACTTACCTATTACCATCCCTAAAAACCTACTTATCTTCAAGTACTCATCATTAGTACATGCATACGAAATCTTGTCTTTCGGATGAATTCTTTCGTATTGTAACTTGAAGAAAAATTCAGGGTTGCAATACAACCTATAGTCGACTGCTTCTTTGAAAAGCTGTAAGCCCTTGTTGTTCTTCCTGTTCTCTTCAGATGGTACAAAAGTTGAAGCAACCAAGGTTGTCAGAAGTTCTTTGGTTAACCCACCTCCATCAATACCTGCTTCCGTCTCTCCAAACTCATTAACGAATTGCACTGAAAACTGTCTCTTGAACTCTGTTCCCGTCAAGTTACCAAAAGAGTTATAGGAATCAAATAGCATGTTGTTCCTGGAAATAACCCCTTCAACTTTAGTCGGGAACCATTCGTTCACATTGTTATTATGTTTATCGTACTCGATGAAAAAATGAAATATTTCTGCTCTCTTCTCAAAAGGAACCATGAAGGGGGCATAAGCTAAAATGTAGAAAAAGTCAACAATTTTTTTGGGAATATTATTTTTGAATAGCTGGACAAGTTTAGAATTCTGCAAAAAATCGACAGATTCCTCATTCTCGTCCTTATGGTCATAAAACAATGTATCATTGTGTATCTTGTCTATGGTTGGAATTGCCGAAGAGATAGAACCCATTTCAAGATCGTAACCCGGAAGAATCCAAAAATCTTTTTCAAGGATCTTCAATTTCAAATCTTTCATATGAAGCATATGTAACAAAGATAAAGATTTTTTAAACTGCTGCATGAAGAATAAAGGTTTGTAATCTGCTGGCTTGCTCAAGTCCCTATACTTGAATAGCACTTCTATGACAAATGTTCTCAGGAACCGAATGAAATTAGTAAGATCGTCCCTTGATATTATAATAGCCTTGTAGAATTTTTCGTCAGATGTCAAGGAAATTATATTAGATAGAAACTCTTGAAAGACAATGAGAGAGTCCCACCACAGTCTATATTTTTCCGTGAATATCAAAGAAGGTAGAAATTCTGTCACTTTCTTGCTTTGTAAAAACGAATTGTAAACCGCTAACGATGATATGCTTCTGAAGCAAGCTAAAATCAAATCTGAATTGTCCTCTTTGAGAATCCAATGAATATCGATACTTGATTTCAATGAAATGGCTTGTTCTCCCTCAACGATGTAAACAAAATGTAATAGCGCAGAAATGTAACCAATCAAATTATCGGGCGTCACCTCATGAAAGGATCTGAAGTTGTTCAACTGGAACAAGGGCTTCAATGAATCAAAAAAGCTTGAGGATATTTGTATTGAAGATCCAGCCGACATGACGTCATCTATATTATCTATCTCCATAGCATCAGGGCCGCTTTCACTCGTAAAGTCTTCAGCAATCCTTTTCTTCATATAGAGTTTGTCACTATCAAAAATCGTGATCTTTTGCGATATGGTACTCAAAAGGAGTTGTACTAGCGGGAGAGCTGTTTTAGATGTCATAGTTTTGTTACATTTTAGTTCCGGGTATTGGTACAATGAGATCGATATATTGGAAAGAAACAGTAGCTTCTCTTGATTTGGTAAATTCTTCAAATACTCCTTGTCATCAAGCAAGTATACTAGCAAGTTGTTTTCAAACGTCACAAATTCCTCCAGCCAGTGATGAGAAACGGAATCTTGAATGATGCTTATTTTCGGGTCAATGAATAAAGTAAGCAAAGGCTTCATTGAGAGCCTACCGGACAACTTCAGGATATATGTCAACGCAAAAATCTCTCCATTTCTATAAAGACTGACCAACGCTGCGGTGAAGTGCTGATTGTGAGATCGTCCGAAGGCAACGGAGTTTTCCTGATTAAAAATCTTTTCTAACGAGAGCAAAATCTCCTTCTCAAGTTCGGTGTGGTTGTGGCCGTCATCTGACACCAGCAGTGTAAAAGTGTTTACCATAGTTTCCTCAATTTCCGCCAATTCTTCCCTCGAGAGTAGTGGTGATCTTTTTTGCAAAAGCCGAAGCTGGCGTATAGACTCTTCGGGGGCCTGAACTTTGACAAGATATGGAAAAAAGTACTTGAAATGCACGATTGAGCGTCCATCCCAATTTTCGGACAAGCCCTTTCTCCAGCAAAGAAGGTCCATATACCTCCTGCATGCCGATTGGAGAGTAATGGCAGAATTAGTTCTTATTCTCAGCTGCTCTCTTTTCTGTCGTTCGATCTGAGCAGATTTTAAAAACACTGACTTGTTCTTGCTCAACAAGTTTCTATTCCCTAGGTTGACATTTCGCCTATTGGTAGTCCCTGTAAAATTAAAACTCATTGTCCTGTAGTCTGGCGCATGCTCCCCATCAAGCTGAAAGGGTTCTTTGTTGCCACCAGGAGATCAAGTTTCAAGCCGTCAAAAAGCTCTACAGGGCTCTAACATGCCGAACAGAAAGCCCATACTGAGAGGCCTCTGTGGCGCACGCTGCCGTCCTTATCGCTCGGGAGGTGTGCCTCCTTGTGTGGCGCAGCGAACGCGTCCTATTTGGTTTCATTCTTTTTTCGTGTTGGAAATTCACTCCAAAATGATTTGACCTTGCCCTTTCTTTATGACAAGGTGCTTGCGGTGAAAGTTCAGGGACCAGAGTTTGCTAACCATCAAGAAAGTAATTCTAGAAAATCCTGCAATAGATGACGACTGTCAAACGTGAGGCCGGCCATGAACTAGACATCTTTGAGCTTGAAAACAAGCGGAGACGTCTGACTTCAGACCAAGTATCCAAGGAAGGGTTTGTAATCCCTCTCAACAACGAGGAAGTCAGCACAGAATCAATCCACAAGAAGCTCAATGTCTCAGAAACAGAGGCAGAGCCTTCAACTTTTGAAAAAGAGCTTATCACGATGACCCAAGCGCAACCGGTTGAGGCTAAAGCTAGAGCTACCACCCAAGTGTGGACAAGACCGCCACTGCCCGCCGATTTCACGCCCATGACACATGAAATAAACTTCCAGCAGTTGGATGCAGAAGAGTCTAGTATTGTCGGTCCTGATGGGAGAGACCAGGGATGTGTCAGGTTTTTCGGTGTTACAGACAAGGGCAATTCGGTATTGTGTAACGTACTGGGATTTCGTCACTACTTTTACGTTCCAGCTCCACGTGGGTTCCCCACCGAGTTTGACGAGTTCACCAGGTCTTTGAAATCGCAATACCAAAACATGATTGAAGATGTCGGTATCGAACTGAAAGAAAGTATATGGGAATTTCACGGAGACCAAAAGGTTCCATTTCTCAAGATCATACTATCCCATCCAAGACACGCAGGTAAGGTTCGTACAGGATTTGAAAGAGGTGAGGTACAATTTCGTGACTTGTTTAACCCAACCGGTACAGTCACTTTTGATAACTTGCAATATCTTCTGCGTATGATGGTGGACTGCCAAATCACCGGTATGAGTTGGCTCTCTTGCCCGGCGGGAAAATATACTACCGTTGAGTATCGAAGAAAAGTTTCCACTTGCCAGTTGGAGGTGAATATAAACTATACAGACTTGCTCAGCCATAAGCCAGAGGGGAAATACCTTTCGATGGCACCATTGAGAGTGCTGTCCTTTGATATCGAATGTGCAGGGAGAAAGGGGATCTTCCCCGAGCCTGACCAAGATAGCGTCATCCAGATCGCCAACGTTGTTTCAAAGGTCGGTGACAGTATCCCGTTTGTGAGAAATGTCTTCACTGTGAAGAGCTGTTCTCCAATTGTTGGTTCTGAAGTGTTTAGTTCTGAAGAGGAAGGTGATATGCTAATGAAATGGAAAGACTTTGTTGTCGAGGTAGATCCGGATGTTATAATTGGTTATAACATTGTCAACTTCGATCTGCCATATTTGATTAACAGAGCCAAGGCTTTGAAACTTGACAAATTTCCATATTTTGGAAGGTTGTCGAACACTAGGCAAGAAATCAAGGATTCGATTTTTAGCTCACGTGCTTATGGTACCAGAGAGTCTAAAATCATCAATACAGAGGGCAGAATGCAGCTTGATCTTCTTCAATTTATTCAAAGAGAATTCAAACTCAGATCCTATACTCTGAATGCCGTTTCTTCTCACTTTTTAGGGGAGCAAAAGGAGGATGTGCAACACTCAATCATCACGGACTTACAAAATGGGGATAGTGAAACGCGTAGAAGGTTGGCAGTTTACTGTTTGAAAGATGCCTTTTTACCTCTGCGGTTGATGGAAAAATTGATGTGTTTGGTGAACTACACAGAGATGGCCAGGGTCACTGGTGTTCCGTTCTCCTTCTTACTTACGAGAGGACAACAAATCAAGGTTATCTCTCAGTTATTCAGAAAATGTTTGGATTTGAACATTGTCATTCCAAACATGAAGTCTGAGAATGTTAATGAAGAATACGAAGGTGCGACTGTCATTGAGCCTGTTAGAGGGTACTATGATGTTCCGATTGCGACATTGGATTTTGCTTCCTTGTATCCATCCATTATGATGGCGCATAATCTCTGCTACACCACCTTGTTGAGCAGAAAGACAATTGAGAGGCTAGGTTTAAAGGAAGGTGAAGATTACGTGAAGACGCCAAATGGAGATTGTTTTGTGATGGAGCATGTGCGAAAGGGAATCTTACCCACGATTTTGAAGGAATTGTTGGGTGCAAGAGAGCAGGCCAAGAAAGACTTGAAGAATGAGACTGATCCGTTTAAGAAGCAAGTGTTGAACGGTCGACAGCTAGCATTGAAGATTTCTGCAAACTCAGTCTACGGGTTTACTGGTGCTACCATTGGTAAACTACCCTGCTTGGCCATTTCATCCAGTGTCACTGCGTTTGGTAGAGAAATGATTGAAGCCACCAAGAACGCCGTCCAGGAAAAATACAGTTTGAAAAATGGATTCCCCTACAATGCACAAGTCATCTATGGTGATACCGATTCGGTGATGGTTAAATTTGGTTTCAGCGACCTGGAGACATGCATGAGTTATGGTGAGGAGGCAGCGGCCTACGTATCCAAGTTGTTCAAAGACCCCATCAAGCTCGAGTTCGAGAAGGTGTACTTCCCGTACTTGTTGATCAACAAGAAAAGATACGCCGGGCTATTCTGGACGAATCCCGCCAAGTTCGACAAGATGGACACAAAAGGTATCGAGACGGTGAGAAGAGATAACTGCCGACTCGTCCAGAACGTCATTACACGGGTCTTGGAGCTGATTCTCGAAGACCGAAACGTCGAAGAGGCCGAGGAGTTTGTCAAGAAAACGATTGCGAACTTGCTACAGAACAGGGTCGACTTGTCGCAGTTGGTGATTTCCAAGCAGCTCAGCCGACAGGACTATGCGAACAAGCAGCCGCACGTCGAGTTGGCCGAGAGGATGCGCAAGAGAGACGCCGGGTCTGCCCCAAACGTCGGCGACAGAGTGGCGTACGTCATCATCAAGACCGCTGCCGGCGACAAGAACTACGAGAAGTCCGAGGACCCGCTGTATGTCTTGGAGAACTCGCTGCCCATCGACACCAAGTACTACTTGGACAACCAGTTGAGCAAGCCCTTGACGAGGATCTTCGAGCCCATCTTGGGCGAGAAGCGCACCCGGGAGTTGCTCCACGGCTCCCACACCAGAATCGTCAAGGTCGGCAGCGCCAAGACAGGCATGTTGATGCGTTTCGCCAAGAAGTCCAACACCTGCAAGGGCTGCAAGACCGCCATTCCGGACAACGAGACCCTCTGCAAAAACTGCAAGAGCCGCAGTGGCCAGATCTACGGCGAGGCCTTGGGCAAGATGAACCTCCTCGAGGAGCGGTTCAGCAAGTTGTGGACCGAGTGCCAGCGCTGCCAGGGCTCCTTGCATCAGGAGGTCCTCTGCGAGAATAAGGACTGTCCGATCTTCTACATGCGCATGAAGTGCCAGAAGGACATTTCCAAGCAGTCTGCCGAGTTGCAGAAGTGGGACAGCAGCAGCTGGTGATATATCTGTCTATGTGTAACCCAACTCCTCCCACCCCCGTGTAATAACGCTTAACCCCACCCTCTTTCTCTTCTCTGCCGCCTGCGTGCCGCTCCGCCCGCTCCGGCCCTCGGCAGCTTTTGCGCAACCGCTGCTCCCGCACAACGGAAACGAATTATATGGCTCGGAAGAGGGAGCCTCGGACGGAAGAAACGGCTGGCGACATGGCCAGAGACTGCGGCTGGCGGAGGGGACGGCCAGTGAAGGGGGAACGGTGAAGAAGCCGGCTGGGTGTCACTTGTCTGGGCTGTTTTGGGTCTGGGGGCTGTAGCACAGCGTTGCATAGGAGGTATATAGAGTTTGCGTCTTCCCTTCTGCATCTGTTTGCGTGTTTAGAGCATCCCCGTGTCGGGCAAAAGGGTGATTTTCTTGTGGTGACACATTTCAAGGCTCGTACCTTTGATCTCACGACACTCTTGAACGGACAGCATCCGCGGAACAGCAGCAGTGCACAGGCCAGAAAACCAGCACCAGCGTGCTATCACAGAACCGTCGACAGACAGCTCCGACCTGTATCAGCCGTTTTCCACCACCCCCTTCCCCTTCCCCGAGTGCCGTGCTCGAAATTCCTTTGTTTAATGATCACAAAACCTCTGCAAACTGCAAGACTACTACTCATTTTTCTCCTCACACCGGTTCACCAGCGTCTCTGATAGCTTTCGACCAAGATAATACCCTGTTTGCCAAAGCATCCTAATAATCTGTTCCGTCTAGTATACCTCCAACGACCACGATAGTAACTGATAATAAGATTAAGTTTTTTCTCCCCGATTTTAATGTCAACATAATCAGCATAATAATAAAACCCATCGATAGAAGAGACTATACCAGCACAGAGAAAAAAAAACGATGATGAGCTCTTATTTCCAATCCACTTACAACTCGGGCAGAATCGCCCAAACGTATCTACTAGCGTCGAAGGTCAAGGCCAAGCTCACACAAGAGGCAGTTCGAAACGACGTCGATCTACATCGTTTGGTGTGCCAAGCAAACTTACTAGATAACTTGATTGAGAACTTGAACCATCACGAGTCAAGCTACAATAGCAATACTAGCAGTAACCCAGGCAAAACTAACGTCTGCTACGACTCCATAAACTCGAACTCCTACCCTCTTCTCAACAACGTCACAGTCCAGGTTAACGACGTAGACTACGTTGTTGATGGCGATGCGGATAGTGGTGAAGAGGATGACGAGGTCGATGAAAACGAAATAAAGATAGAAAGAGCCCCATGCTCAGACGTGTACTACACGTCGGATGACTCAGACTTCGACTCCGATGACGACTCAGACTCTTCTTTCAACAGTGACACCTTTGGTGGGAAGAGCTCTGACCCGAACGAGCTGTGCTGCATAGCACTGCAAAGACTGAATCTCCACGGCGGTGTCGAAGATGGTCTTGGCGAGGATGACGACGATTTGGAAAATCAAGCAACCTGCTCGTCTGTCACTGCTACCATCACACTCTCCGGATCCGATTCCGATTCCGAATCTAATTCTGAAACGGAAAGCGACACCGAATACGAAAACGAAAATGAAAACGACTCAAGAGATCACGGATCGTTCTCAAATAATTATTGTGCATTGATGAGAATGCATTCCCAGCATACTTCTTTGAACTTGAACGACTATGTCGCGTCCTTGGAAGCTGACACATCTGTCGAAGAGACAGATGCCTGTACTAACATTCCGCATAATTCAAGCTTGGATGAGATGACTCGTGAAGAAGACTTGCCTTCATTATCCAACTGTTCTTCGTTTTCTTCAATGGAAGAAATCGGCCAACCAAACCAAAATATTGTCAGATTGGACTGCTTAGACTCAATCAAACACCAACACGATACAGATTCCCCTTCATTGTATTTAACTCAAAGCCAGGATGTTTTCCTTCTATAAATTTCACGACTTCACTCTCAATGACGAATAATGACTTCACTAACTGGCCCTAGTCGCATCCCAAACTAACAATAAAGGTGGCTTTATTACCAAAACTCCAGATAAATTTAAATAATATGTTTTATACATTACACTGGTATCTCGATTCTTGCCTAGATTGAGTGAAGAGTTATACGACACCATAGCGTATACATATACTCTCAGTTTTTTTTGCTTGTCCATTCTTATATTCTAATGATCCATCTTAATCAATCAAAGAATGTCTTTCTAATTTCGTTTTTTTTGCCTGTTCACAATCTTCTTAATTTCAATTATTTTTCCTGTTTATCTATGATTATGTATAATGATTTATAAAAATTTTCTAATCCCTTTAATGATTTTTTCAACTAACACATGCTCAAAAGTGGACGTTTTTCGGTGGAACTGTTAAGATAAGATGCCTTGTCATAATGATATTCTTATCTCTTATTGTTGAGATAAGATGCCGAAGTCAATATCAATAAATTAGAGAAAGAGGCTTATTAAAGACAAGGCATTAGAAAAGAGCCTTGTAATGACAAGGCATCAAGTAATCTAAAACTGGAAAGATTAGCCGACGTCATGAGTGTATAAATAGGAGAGGTTTTGTCTCCTATCTGTGTTTAGAATCATTAGTTATTAAGAGTTGTATAAGTTGTTTTTAACTAAGTAACAAACATAAGAAAACGTGTACATATACAATGGATATTCATAATAGAATAGCTAGATTACAACACTTTTCTAATGCCTTGTCTTTAATAAGCCTCTTTCTCTAATTTATTGATATTGACTTCGGCATCTTATCTCAACACCCCACCATAATCTAAACACTTGTAGATATGTTCGACATTCCAGCTAGACCAACAAACTTATTGAATTTAATCTTGGCTAAACTTTTAGTCAACATATCAGCAACCATATTTTCAGTGTTGATTGAAACTATCTCACAGTTTCCTTCTGAAATATGATGTCTAACAAAATGATGTTTAATATCAATGTGTTTGGTTCTCTGGTGATGGACCGGATGCGTTGATAACATCCTGCACCCTTCGTTGTCTTCAAAGATGCAGGGGACTTTGTTCATTTTAAGTCCAATGTGTTTCAACAGTTGTGTTAACCATAGTAATTCTTTAACTGCGTCACCCAGTGCCATATACTCAGCCTCAGTAGATGATAGCGCCACCGTCTGCTGTTTCGTGGATTTCCATGTTATTGCAGTATTTCCTAACATGTAAACATGTTTAGCAGCAGCATAATGATTTGCATACGGGGTTTTGATAAACCTTGACAGGGCCGAGGCCGCATATGACAAATCGGTCCTCACTGTATTCGCAGCAAACAATAATTTCCCCACCATGGTGCGATACAGGGAAGTATCTTCATCAGACAGCGGCTT